ACTCTGTCACTGGTAAATAATTTACACTGCCTAGATCTTGTGCTGAAGCACAACAGCCCAACTTGTCAATGTTTGTTAAGGAACCATTTGGTTCAAAAGGATAATAAAATTGAAGGTCAGGAACATGTAAGCACAGCACATATAAAAAGCACCATGTGAGAAATATAGTTAATAGTTGGTTGCAAAGTGAATCAGATAGACTGGATTTGGTATTTTTATCCATCTATCCAATCCTTCCCAAGGACCTGGCAAATATTGTTTGGTGGAGTTAAAAGTATCATTGCAGGATATTTGTTTGTTTGTTTGTTTGTTTCATCAAGTATGAATTAGATAATAGATATAAGTATAGGCATGATTATGAATACATGAAATGGATACAAATACAAAGAAATATTAGGATAGAGACAGTAGGCACATTGGTGTGCTTATGCACTCCCCTTAAAGACCTCTTAGGAATGGGGTGAGGTCAACAGGAGACAGTCTAAGGTTAAAGTTTGGGGGGTTTGGGGAAGAAACCACAGTGCATTTACTGCAATCAAATTTGGGGCTGTTTACCATAAGTGTGTATCTATTGTGAACGCCTGTTTTGTTGTGGTTGAAGCTGAAGTATTTATTGACAGGGAGGACATTGTAGCAGATAATTTTATGTACTACATTTAGTTCAGATCGTAGATGGATCCTAAATTGTTCTAAATAATTGTTCTAAATAAGTTCTAAATAAGCTGTTCCAAGTAAAGATGCCTTTTGTAATTGACTGATGGTGATTTTGTCAATGTATTTAAGTGGGGCTCCAAATTTACTGAAAGTACTCAATAGTAATATAAAGTTTTTTTTTCTGACAGCTTTAAAAACAACACTTCTTGAAATGATCAGGTGATGAAATGCTGGGAGTGTCAGAATTTTGCAACTAAAATTATTGCTAACATGGAATATTAGTGTTGAATTTTCTACTTTCCTATTCTGTATATATCGAAAAAGCTTGTCTGCTTTTTATGATTGTTTTAATCATGGTGTGAACATTTACAGAATTTTCTATCTAATTGTTATGTATTAAAGAAATGTAATGAGCAATTTTGTACAATGGTCTGGATTCTATACAGGCAGGGAAGGGTTTTCTTAAAGAAGAAAACATAAATACAGTACAGTATGTTCCCTTTATATTTCATCAGACCCTTAGAAAAGGAGTGCTTTGGTCTTTGCCCCAAGAGCAAAGTTAGCTTTAGAAGTAACCAAACACTTTCTTTAAGTGCAATAAAAGTTCAGAAATAAAACACCCTAATTCTGGGCTTGGATCCAATTACATTCTTTGGAATATAATGCAAAGGATTTGACTGAAACTTCATTGCAGAAAAATAACTGTCAAAATAAGTAAATAAATTTGTTTTAAATTCTCAGTCTAAAATGCTTCCAATCAAATGTTCCTTTCAGTGTGATTATTTTGATGAAAGGGAAAGATATCACCTGCAACCTGAGAAGAACAAATGCTTGTGTTTATATTTGCTTCCTAAAACAAGAATGGTTTTAATCTTATGTATGACCAGGCCCTGAAAATCAACAAATTTAGTGGAATTATATAAATGATTCCCAAACATGGACCATGAGCCCTCCCCCTCCCAAGGAACATGCCATATTTGTGTGGAGTCAAAGTAAGTTTCTGAAGGGCCATCCAAGCATATAATCATTTTGTCATTATCCTCACATTTCATTCTGTGTGCTAATTTCAGCAACATAAATATTGAAAACTGCTATAGTTTATGATATAGTATAAGAGTGGCCATGGAAATCATTCACAGAGACAAATGAGGTTGACAAAGGGGACACAAGCCAAAAAATGACCAGGTAATGATAAAATGCTGTGTTTGTGTGTGTCTGTGTGTTTGTGTGGATAGACAGACAGACAGACAGACAGACAGACAGACAGACAGACAGACAGAC